ACCATCTGGCCCTGAGATTTAATTGGTTGGGAGACTTTTAATTTCCTTAGAAGTTATAGGTCTATTTAAATTGTTTACATTATCTTCATTTAACTTTGCTAAGTGGCATCTATTGAGAAAATTGTCCATTTCTTTTAGATTTTTCAGTTTTTTAGAGTACATGTTTCTGAGGTGTAACCTAATAATTCTTTGGATTTGCTCAGTGTCTGTGGTTATACCCTCCTATTCATTTCTGATTCTGTTAACTTGAGTATTCTCTTTCTGCCTTTTATTCAATTTGGATAAGGGTTTGTTTATCTTGTTGATTTTGTTTCATTGATTCTTTGTATTGCTGTCTTTGTTTCTATTTTATTGATTTCAGTCCTCAATTTGATTATTTCCTGGTGTGTATTTCTCCTGGGTGAGTCTCCTTTTTGTTCTAGAGCATTCAAGTGTGCTGTTACGTCACTAGTATGAGATCTCTCCAGAGTCTTTATGAAGGCACTTTGTGCTATGAACTTTCCTCTTAGTACTGTTTTCATAAGTTTGGGTATGTTGTCCATCCATTTTTATTGAATTCTAGGGAGTCTTCAAATTTTTTTTTGTATTTCTTCCTTTACCTAGTTGTGATTCAATAGAGAGTTGTTCAATGTCCATGAGTTTGTACCATTGGTCTCCTTTTCCCATCATCCTGTCCCCAACCCTACTTAAACATATAGATTAATAGTTATGGGTTAATAATTAAGAGAGAGCTAGCCAATAAGAATCCTGAGCCATAATCCAAACAGTTTATATTTAATATAAGCCTCTGTGTGTTTATTTGGGGCTGAAGGGCAGTGTGTGTTTATTTGGGGCTGAAGGGCAGCGGGACCAGGTGGGAAAGAAACTCCATCTACAATTCCCACCACGCAAATGAGGGTAGCTCTATGATAGCCCATTAAAGCTAACCTTCGACAAGCCATTCTCCTGCTCTGAATCTCCAATGTTTGATAGAGTGGAAGAGATTCATAGATTTTTAAGGATGCTTTCTGGACCAGGTTTCTATTGGGAACCTCTTCCCTTTCTAATCTCTCATCAATGGCCTTCCTTCCACAGTGTATATACAAGCTATCTTGATCTAGTCATTTCTCTATGTGCACATATTTTGAAACATTATATCATACCCAATCAATATATAAATTATTTGTCAATTTAAATGAGTAAATGTTAAATACAGTAGCATTTGCAAGATTAGGAGACTGCCAAGCATAAACACTGGCTTTTTTAATTAAAAAAAAACTTGTAACTAAGTGAAGAGAGGTGTTCGAGGATTTGCAGACGGCATCAGAAAGAGATCACTTCTCTTTGAAAACAGAGAAAAGGCAGAGTGATATACCTATTTAACACAGTTACTAGCAAGACTCTGTAAGGTCTTTGGAGACACAGACAAGAATGTAGTAAAATGTATTTGGAAAGCTGGGTAAACTAGAAGAGCTGACATACTTTTGAAAAAGAACAAGGTAGGAAGAATCACTTAACAGACTTTTTTTTTTTGGTTTTTTGAGACAGGGTTTCTCTGCAGCTTTGGAGGCTGTCCTGGAACTATCTCTTGTAGACCGACTGGTCTGGAACTCACAGAGATCCGCCTGCCTCTGCCTCCCGAGTGCTAGGATTAAAGACATACGCCACCAACGCCCGGCTCACTTAACAGACTTTCAATACTTATCACATCATTATAGCAATTATCATTAGTGTGGTATCAACAGATAAATAAACACTCAATGTAACACAGACCCAGACACGGCTACTTAGATGCACAGACAACTGAATTTTTACAAAGGTTCAAAAACAGTATCAATGGAGAAAGGATGGTGCTGGAATAATTGGACATCCACTAGCACAAATACAAACCTTGCCTTATGAAGGGAAAATGAACTCAAGATGCATTATAGATTTAAATACAAAACATAAAACTATGAAACATATTAGAAGGTACAGGATAAGATCTTTAGAACACAGGACTCCACAGAATTCTTTTTTTGACATTTATTGGTATGAACATGTGCTTGAAGAACGATCATGGGCATTGGGACACCAGAAAACAACTTACAGAAGTTCCTTCTCTTCCACCATGTTGTTTCTGGGGATCAAATTCAAGTTTGGCAATAAGCATCCTTACCCACTGAGCCATCTCACTCACCCTGACCTTATCAGAATTCTTACATTTAACAAACAAAAATGTAGCTGAAAGGCCATGAGACTGGAGACGCTCCAGCACTTTAAATTCCTACATGAACAAAATAAAGCCTAATATAAGTGATCAATTGGAATCAGAAACCTTACAAATAAGAAGCTGGGTGTCAGGGTCTCAATACTGTGATTCCAGCATTTAGACATCTATAGCAGGAAGACTGTGAATTCCGGACCAGCCTTGGCTATGTCGTGAGACCCTCTTTCATAAAGGAAAGAAGAGACAGAGAGAGAAAAGGAGGGAAGGAGGGAGGGAGGGAGGAAGGGAGGGTAGCAATCAGAGGCTCTAGGTAATGTGCCACCTGAAAAAGAATATTCACAAGCCACTTATCAGATAGCTTTCCATAGTGGTGACAAAAACATGAGAAAACCAGTTTATAAAGAAAAAGAGGTTTATTTGTGTGCAGCATTTGGGCTTTTCAGTACATGGTTGAAAGTCTCAACTGGAGTCTGTTGTGAGGTGGGGAGCACTCAGTAGAAACAAAGAAAGAATGGTGAACAGAGCCATGGGCCTACAGTCTCCACCATGAGCCAGGCCTGGAAGGACCTCCTACTAGGACCCATATCTTCAAGTTTCTATAACCTTCCAATAGCAACACACAGGCTGGCAAGCAAAACTTTAACACATGTGTCTGTAGAGGACATTCTACATCCAAACTATGGCCACTAAAGACCTAAGATCTAAATTAAGAGAGAGCTAGCCAATAAGAATCCTGAGACAGAATCCAAACTCCATCTACAATTCCCACCACGCAAATGAGCGTAGCTCTATGATAGCCCATTGAAGCTAACCTTCGACAAGCCATTCTCCTGCTCTGCTCTAAATCTCAAAAATTAATAATAGGAACAGAGAGATGACTCAGTGGGTAACAGCACTTGACACACAAGAATAATGACCTGAGTTCAGATATCTGAATCCCATGTAAAAGCTGAACTCCACGGCACACGTTTGTGATCCCAGTACTCCTACAGCTAGTGGGAGCTGCAGACATGACTTAACCCTTGGAGGCCAGGGAGTCTGCAATAGGAAGCATGGCAGAAACAAAAGAGATTCTACATCAATAAGAAAAGAGAACCAACTCCCAAATGCTGTTCTCTGACCTCCACACGCACATGTGGCACAGAACATGTAGCATTGTATGTACACATGCACAAAAATAAATGAACACGTTTATTAAATCACCAGTAAATAAAAAACATGATCCAACACTTTACCAAGAACACAAAGATAGCTAGTAAATATATGCTTAATTCCTTCAGAGCTGCCCTTAGTCTGCTCTTCTCATTACTGTTTAACCACACTCCTCACTTCCCTGACACCATCCCCATCCCCCCTCACCTTTCTTTTCCTCTCCACCAGTCCTGTCCTTCCATGCACAGTAGCCTAGCAAGGTAATCCCAACCCTGTGCAAAGTCACGCAACCTGATTTGGCCCCCACAGACTATTCCCATCTGCACCATGCTGTGAACCTCATCTTAGTATCCAGAGGAAGTCAATCCTAGACACTTAAATTGTCGCAAGTCGGGCAGCTGCTGAGAAATGAGGCAAGGTGGTAAAGAAAAGAAAGGCTTTCAGCCCTACGAAGAGGGCCGAACACAGCTGGCTACAGCAGGGCTCCTTCTACTGCTGCCCTCATCAAGCCACACAGGCCACCAGCTCCTTTCCCCTCTCTTGTTCTCAGATCAGCAAGAAATGGACTAACCTGGGGTTTTCTATTCCTTTAGCAGCAAAAGCTTTCAAATCAGTGTTAAATGTGCTGCTTAATGGCCAGCAGACTAACCTCTAGTTATTTCTTTATGGAATTTGGGGAAAGTCAGAGCATACGACTGGTTAAGTGCAGAACAAATTTTCTGCTTCAGACAAGGGAAAAGTTGGTATTGGGCGGTGGTGGTGGTGATGGTGGGGGTATGTGTGTGTTTGTTAAACTCTGTGTATATATGTGTTATGGGATTTGTGTTGTGGGGTATATGCAGCATAAGGTGTGTGTGTGTGAGAGAGAGACAGAGACAGAGACAGAGAGAGACAGAGAGAGAGGGCTGTGTGTATGTGTGTTGTGGAGGATGGGGATGGGGTGTGATGTGTGTGCCAAACTCTTGCTGTGTGTGTGTGTGTTATGGGGTTTTGTTGTGAAGTGTATGTGCTGTGAGGTGTGTGTGTGTGTGTGTGTGTGTGTGTGTGTGTATTTGACGTGGGGTTGCATGTGTATGAGGGTTGGGAAGAGGAGTGTGGTGTGTATGTGTGTTGTGAAGTGTGTGTTATGTGTGTGTTTTGTGTGGTATATGTATATATGATATGAGGTGTGTGTGAGATGTGGGGTGGTGTACATGTGTGTGTTGTGGTAGTGGTGGGATAGGGATCTGGGATACGATGTGTGTGCTTGTGTGTATGTGTGTATTAGACTCTCTGTGTGTGTTGTGGCATTCATTTTGTGAGGTGTTATATATGTGTGTGTGGAGCGTGTGCATTTGTGTGTGTGCGCGTGCATTTTCCACAGGGAGAGATGTACCCAGAATGAAAACAGTGGAGGGTGGAGGCCTTCAGGATTCTTTGAAACTCCCAGGTGGAACCTAGATCCTACACACATCCTGCATGGACGTTTCCTGCCCAGCTGGGATATCCTGTGTTTGTCAAAAGGACTACACAGGGAAGCCATAACCATTGTCCTTCCTGAAATCTGCCAGTGTGCCCCTCCCCAGACTGAGGCAGCCGCCCCAAGCAGAGGAAGAATGACTTTGGAAATGTGTTATCAGCATCCTCCATGGATTTCCTCACCTCCTGCCCAGCTCCATTAGCTGCTAGCTCCTCAGCATCCTCAGACAGAAACTTAGAGGCTGGGACAGGGTCAGCACCCTGAGGCCAGTTGCCTTTGACAGCTTCCTTTCTGGTCAGGCCTGGCCTCTGTGTAGCTCTAGGTGCACCGCTCAACACCGCTGCGGCAGCACAGAGCTCAGGATGGAGGCCCTCGCTGGAGCTGAGACTGCAGCCTTCCACCAGCCCTGGCCAGCCCGGCTGCTGCTGTGGGTCTCAGCCCTGAGCTGTTCTTTCTCCTCGACGGCTTCTCTTCCTCCTTCTCTGGTACCCGGAGTCAGAAGCAGCTACACTCTGGAAAGGACGCTCCTCGGTCTTGATAAATGCAATGCCTGCATCGGGACATCAATTTGTAAGAAGTTTTTTAAAGAAGAAATAAGGTCAGAATAACCATGAAATAACTCTGAGGAGCAAACTAAGCTCCTCTCAGTGTCAAGATATCTCATTTATGGGTGGAAACTAGAGGAAGGCATTTAACAGTAGTTATGGCTTGACATAGGAGGGCAAGCATGGAAGCCAAATTCCAGCCCTAAATGCTAAAGTCTAAGGTTCCTTTTGAAACTGAAAATTCTTTTCTATGACTAGAGTAGCCTGAGACTGTTGAGATTTCCTACTGGCTCCTCATAACAGGAAGAATGAAATATATAGAAAGCTACTATGTGGCAGACATTTTAAACCATCCCAATCCCCAGTGTTGACAGTTTGCACCCATTATTCAGACATTAAGCAGACAGTGGCTGGATTAAGGGACTTGCCCAAGGCAGACCTGGGATACAAAGACAGTTTGCTCCAGCATTTCAGAGCCGGTTCTCTGTTGTGTGGTACTGGTCTGAGGAAAATCAGAGTTTAGTTCACTGTGATGCACGTGGCTCTCACCAAAAAATGCCATTCATGCCTATCAGCACACAGTCATGGGACATTCAACAAGACTAGGAACCAGCAGGGACAAGTGGGAAGAGCCACCACAACTCTGCTCCTTACCTTCTAGGGGTCAGAAGAAAGGACAGTATTAGAAATAATAGTGAGGTTTGATCTGATGAGTGCCAGACAGGGGACACTGACTGCAGAGAGATTTTCTGGGGAGAGGATTTCCAAGCAAGATCTTGCAGGATGAACTGGGCGTGGGGGGTGGAAGGGGAAGGCAGAAGCATGGTAAACAATGGTGTGGGAGACATGAAAGGTGTTGGTGGCCGAAGCCCTGGGTCTAGGTGGACATGGACAGAGGAGAAGCCAGGAATGGCATACAAGGCACAGTCCCTCGAGTTGGGCCAAGAAATGGGGAACTTAGCCTGGGAACCGGTGGCTCCCAGTTTTTTCAGTACCGAGGACCTTTTGACCTGCACCCTTTCTTTCTCCTCCCCATCGCCACCACCAAAATCTACCTAACCTTCTGCCTGTAAGATTCTGTGATCAAACAAAAGGCGTAAGCAATGACACACAGCCTCTCTTTTAGTTGTTACACTAAATTACTGAAAAGAAGCAACATAGAAAAGGCCAATCAAAAAATGTTAAAAGTTTTTCTGGGTTTTTTTTTTGTTACTACATACTCATTGTACAAAATGCCTTATGACATTTTCATGCATGTGTATTATGTGACTTAATCGTATTTACCCCATTAATTTTTCTTGACCCCCTCTTCCTAATACCTTTCCTCTTCTCAAATAGTCCCTCTTTATTTTCATTTAATTTATTTTTAAAAATCTAGATTCCACATATGAGAAAATGTGATGTTTATTTTTCTGAGTCTGACTTATTTCATTTAATGTGCTGATTCTCAATTCCATCCTTTTTCTGAAAAATGACACAATTTTGTTATTCTTTATGGCTGAATAAAACTCTGTGCATGTGTGACAGAAAACACTAAACTTCACTTTTATTTTATTTTATTTCATATATATGAATGTTTTGCTGCTGTGCGACTAATACATGGCTGGTACTTGAGAAAGCCAAAACATGGTGTCAGATCCCCTGGGATTGGAGTTATGAACAGTTGTGAGCCACCATATGAGTGCTGGGAATCCAACCTGGGTCGACTGGAGAAGTGCTCTTAACCATTGAGCTATCTCTCTAGATCTTAAGATTTGAGGTGTTTTAGGGAGTCTTTGTGGACATTTGCTATTAAGAATTTTTGGTTTCTGTTTTATTCTTCCTGGAGATGAAACGAAACCATAGGGCCTTTCAAATGCCAGCCAAGTACTCTATCACTGAGTTATCTCTCCAGCCCTCTCCCTGAAGCCTTTCATAAATGCTTTGTGTAGGTTGCAAAGTTGAATGATCCCTAATTAAGACTGATCTGTTATAGACAATAGGGAGGATGATAAGCTGGGAAATAAAATCCATGTTTCAGAGTGATCTCACCGAAAGCCACAGGCAGGGTGGCCTGGGGTTGTTCTTAGGGACTGAAGAATCAGAAGAGAGGTCACCAAAGAAAAGGGGGCAGAAAGAAGCCATCTGGATTCAGCTCTGTGTTCATTTTGTTGACTGACGCAATTTGAAAGGAAGTAATATAAATATGGGGACATTGAATTTGAACTCAGACATTTCCACCTAGGAAGTGGGGTGCAGTGGCTGATTACTCAGAACAAGTAGCAATGAGGATATGGATCTATTTTACACTAGGAGAGAAGGAAACTGCAGAATTCCAGTGAAGAGCTCTAGACTCCCATCCTCTTTCATCCAGTTCAAGATGTTTTCTTTGCAACACTGTTTCAGTAGAACTCAAGACATTCCATATGTGCCTAAAGAGGACGTTTACAGATGCACACAGGAAAATATCAAGCAGGGCAGGTTGGTGGGGTCACAGCACTCTGCTGAGGGTACTGAACCTCAACATAAAGAGACAGAGAGAACCTAAGGGTATGAACTGGTTATGATCTGCCTCACCACCTTATAAATAATTTTCTTTCATTGTAAAACAGTAGTTATTTATTTTAGAAATATTACACAAAATTCAAAATACAAATCATGTAGAATTCATTCTCAAGTGGGCTAGAGAGGTGGGTCCATGGGTGACAGACCCACGGGTGACATGCTTGCTGTGGACTTGATCCTCAGCACCCACACAAAACTGGCCATGGCTACATGGCTTTGTAACTCTATAACTAGGAAGTGGTAACGGATGGATACCCAGAGACCCTGTTAAAAACAAACAAACATAATCTTAGTGTTGGGAAGGCAGAGACAGGCAGGATCTTGAAGCTCATTGACAAGCCAGCCTAACTGAAGAGAGCTCCAAGTTCTGTGAGAGATGCTGTCTCAAAAACCAAAATGGTGCGTGATTAAGAAAGACACCTGACATCAACCTCTGACCTTCACACATGAATACAAACAGGAGCATCTGCACTCAAATACACATGTGCACAATGACACACACACACACACACACATACACACACACACAAATACATATATGCATATGCGCACCTGCACAAAGATCCAATTAATCTTACATACTCTTAGGGACTTTAATAGTGTGTGAAGAACATTTCTTCACATGATTAAATATTTTTCTCCATAATTTGATTTTTTTTTTGGTTTTTCGAGACAGGGTTTCTCCCATAATTTGATTTTTAATGGCTTCGGGATACTGAATTACATCAACTAACTATAATATATTTAAGCCACAAGCATGAGACAATAGGAATTTTTTCACATTTCAATATTATAAACAGTGATGTGTCGAACACTACTGCAGCAAGATTTTGTGCATCTCTCTTATTAATTCCCTATGACAAACTCTTAAAAATGGTATATTTGGATGAAAAAAAGCTAATTTCTAGGATTATATGTGTGTATATGCTTATATATCTTCGAATGAGTACTCCTAAAAGCTCATTTTTACACACTTACAAATATTTGATTTGCTATTAATACTGATCAATAATAGTAAGAATTATATATAATTACATGCATTACTATTACATAATAATGTACTACAGAAAATAATATCTGTATATTGTATATAGTAGATCTATTAATAATTGTTCATATTGTGTATGCAAGGGGAAGGGTACTTAGTAGCAGTGTTTTAGAAATATTGAAAGAGACCCAAAAAATGTGGTTTACACAAGGGTCAACAGTAACTTGGTAAGACCAAAGCAAGTTATTAAGGAGAACAGCAGATAGTGGGCCTAGAAAGATCATAGTGACCTGTGTTAAGTAACTTGACTAAATCCTAAGAGCTTTGGAAATTTAATTTTATGTGATCTGATTTATTTATGAAATATATATATATTAATACCAATCTTTCTTTAGCTTGTATGTATTCCAAGTGTTTTTTAATCTGACATTTTTCATGTTTATTAGCCTTTTGTGTTTCTTCTTTGTTAAGCTGCAAGTTCATAGCCTTTACCTCTCTGTCCCCTTCTCTTTCTCTCCTGCTCTCCTTCCCTCCCTCCCTCTTGCTTGCTTGTGCTGAGGCTGGAACCAGAGCTCTTGGCATGCTCAGCACGTGCTCAATCTCCAAATCCTATGCCCAGTCCTTTCGCCTCCCTCTAATGGGGTAGCTGTTCATCTTGGTCTTGTTTATCTCCTCTCCAAGCATTTCTCTGTTTTTAAAAATGATTCTCATTGTGCCTCAGCAGAAAGTCCACCTCAGGCGCTTGGAAGCATGACTACAATTTCTATCCTGGTCCTTGTGTGTACGTTCCAGCCCTGGTCCTCATTTAGGACTGGACAATGCTGGAATGCAAATGACAGACAAGCTTCCCAGGCTAGCTGGGTAAACTCAAGATCCACAACTGGCAAATGAATATACTTTGCCATCGTTGTTTTATCTGTCCTTTGTAGGGACAGTGATACACCAGGGGCTTCCCATACTCAACCACTGGCTATTAAAATTTGGAATGTGGCCCAGCACTGGTGGTGCATGCCTTTAATCCCAAAACTTGAGAGGTAGAAGCAGGTGGATCTCTGAGATTGAGGCTAGCCTGGTCTACAGAGTGAGTTTTAGGACAGCCAGGGATATGCAGGGAAACCCTGTCCCCTGCCAAAAAAATTGGAATGTGTTCCTACCAGTTTTGCTGTGTAGTATATGTTGACTTTTGCATCATAAATTTTTTTAAAGTTGTAGAAAACTGGGAAATTAGACAGGTCTGACTGACATGCTCCTTTTAATGAAAGTACTTAGATAAGAAACTCTGCATATTCCCACCAACCAGGAGGATCCACCAGGACCTGCTTAGTGGAGTACTTAATGGCAGTGTTTTAGAAATATTGACAGAGACCCAAAAATGTGGTTTTCACAAGGGTCAACAGTAACTTGGTAAGACCAAAGCAAGTTATTAAGGAGAACAGCAGATAGTGGGCCTAGAAAGACCATAGTGACCTGTGTTAAGTAACTTGACTAAATCCTAAGAGCTTTGGAAAGGTGCTGGATGGTTTAGGGGTTCAGTGTGGTGCAGAGACATGTAGAGGAAAGAAGACAGACAGGAAATATTCTGGGAGGCATGTATGACCAAGATGCCTCCTAGGGGGTTCTTGGGCCCTTACCAAGGCTAATTCATTCCCTCATTTGCCTGACTACATGTAATTGGCCTAACATCCATAATCCCTACACCTAAAGCCTTAAAGAATGTTCAGACACCTCTTACTGACTAGTGAAGGGCTTGCGAGAAAACAAATGATAAATTTGGTTGTTTATGTTTTGTTTTTGGCTATCCCTTCTCCCCTGCCTTTTCTCTGTCCCTTTCACGGAAGATTTGGTAGTTACTTTTCTTTTCTCTGTGACCAGATACCTGACAAAAAATAATCAGTATATTAATGGAGGGAGGGTTTGTTGTGTCTTATAGTTTGAAAGTAATCCAATCCATCATAGCAGGGAAAGTATGTCAGGGAAGACTTGGCAGCTCTGTGGCCACAGAAAGGGCTCAGAAGATGGCTTCATAGCATTGGCAGAAAGAGGTGTGTGCCAGGAATCAGTTGGTGTCTTCCTTTTTACCCTTTTACTCAGTCAGGAACCCTAGTACATGGGATGGTGCTACCCATATTCAGGGTGCATCTTCCTGCCTCGGTCCAACTTCTCTAGAAACCCTTTCAAAGGAATGCCCAGAGGTATGCTTCATGTAATTGAAATCCACTCAAGATGGCAGTAAAGATTAACTTTTACCAAAGAGGACAGTAATTATTGAATTAATTCATTTCCTGACCCCATCTCTAGGACCTGTACAATCTGTCATTCATCCATTCGTCCATGTGCCCATTCACTCACTGTCCAACTGGCTATTCATCCAGGCAACCCTCCATGCATTCTTCTACCCCATCATCATTTTGTGCATTCTGTGATGCCGTCCTTTGAGTGTCTCTCTCCTCACATGTGCATCTTACATCCAAATATCCACTATGGTCCATCAATACATCCAAAATTCATTCATCTAACTACAAGGTATTGAGTACCAACTTGGTAGGAACCACTCTGTTAAACTCTTGAGTTATAAAGTTGAAAGAGGAGACCATATATTTGCCCTGGAGGATGTTGTTGTTGAGAAAACAGAAAAGTAAAGTAATGTCTAAACCACCATGTATAAAATGTCCAATGTAGAGTGTCATGGGAACATGTAGAAAGAAAGCCATCTCAAATAGAAGCGAAACAAATGAAGATCAGGAGTGGTACCTGTCAGGGATTTAAAAGGTTGAATGGCTGTCATCCAGAGAAGAAAGAGGAGAAAAGTGTTTCAGAGAAAGGCATGTCCTGAGCCTGAAAGGATGTAGTTATCCAAGGATAGCCAGTAGCTTAATGAAACCAAAGCAAGCTTGTAAGGAAAATGAACAGGAGGTGATGAGTCTTGAAAGAGCCTTGTGGGCTGTGCTAGACACTGTGACTGTATCCTGAGAGGTTTAGAAATAACATCAATGTTTTAGGGTTCAGTATAGAGCTTGGGCATGAAAAGAGGAGACAAGAAATACTTAAAAGGGCATGTGTGGATACAGTAGAAGAGCATATTTCATGCTAGTTCTACTTTAGTCTTCCCTAGCACCACCACCACTACCAAACACATCTGCCCTGCTCACCTTGACATTTCTCTCCAGTTCTGAGAAAGTATGGTCCTGCTGGTCTACCTTTCATGCAGTAAGAACCTCGGCCAGTCTCACATCAATCATGCCAATGATCTCAATTCAAAAGAAAAAAATACAAAGTTACCTGTTTTGCTTTGTTTTGTTTTTTGTTTTTGTTTTTGTTTTGTTTTTCCAAACTCCAGGATATTGACATTTTAGAGAATGAAGAACAGGGCCCATGTTTTCACCAACATTCTTCTAGTCAGTGAAACATGCAGTCGATTCTGTGAGATACACACTTCCCCTTTGTAGCACTAAATGTCACACCATTTTGTCACATGTCTGTTTTCACTCAAATTCATTGTGAAATTCCTTCAGTCATCACTGAACCTGTCATCTCATCAGAGACTCCTCAGAAAATGAAGACAGGAGAAAAAAAAAGGACAATGACTTTGTCCCACAGAGTAGAAAGTCTCTTTCCCCTTAACTCTACAAATTGGTTAAAAGGAATCCCTGGAAGATGCATCCCTTTGTCACTAAATGTCTGTGATTCTTCAGACAAGTCACATATAGTCTGTCTTCCATTTACTCGTTCTCAAAACAAGATGGAAATGGGAACAAGAGCAGAACAAGAAGCTTTCAGGACTTGCCAGGGTTATCCATTAATAATATTATTGACCTGCTCCCATGAGCTAACTCATAAAATGGACTACATAGGAATAAACAATGGTAATGTTGTGAGGATTACAAGCTCTGCTATGTTGAATGCTATTTCTTCCAGTTCCTGGTCAAATCAGGGATCCTTATCTGTACAATTCATAATGCTAACAACCTCACAGCTGTGTTGAAAGGATCATATGCTAGAGATGAAGTTCAGTGCTAGAGCATTTGACTGCTGTGTTTGGTAACCTGTGTGCAACATGAAAAATTAAATGAATTAATAAACACAAAGAGGTTAGCAAAGAAGATAGCATACTTCAAGGTTTCGTAAATTTAAGTTACTATTATTATCACCTCATTGTAAATTCTAAATTCCAGGACCTTTGTGGGGATAGAACTTCATAAGCAAGAGAAGCCAATGTAAGGACCATCTCTAGGCCCTGAACCTTTCTAATCCTTCCTAGAGGGGAAAATGGGTCCCCTCAGTTGTTCTGAAACTTCTGGTGAAGCTTTTGAAGCTCTTTTCACGTTCATCTTCTTCAATCGTCTTGTGACAAGATTCTTAAACGGAACTGCTTGGCCCTGCATTCATTGCAGTTTTTACCACTGCACTGCAGAAGCAGCTCTTTCCCAACTGTTGGAGATCTAATACAGAAGGCACTCAGAGATCTGGGATCTCCATCTATTGTTCCTTGGCCTTGACCATTGTCTTTGAAATTTTTCAGTGGCTTGCCTTGCTATGAAAATACTAGGGTAGAACTGATGGTGTGGTTCAGTTGTAGCTCATCTGTATAGCGTACATAATGCCCTGAGATTCCTCCCCAGCACTGCCATTAACAAACAAACAAATAATCAACAAATAGATAAATCAGTGGAAAACTAGTAATCTCTTTGAGCAAAGATAAGTTATATGAGTAAGAAAGCAAAACATTATACAGTTTGGAAATCATCAAAATGTTAATTCACTGAAAATATACTAGCTAAAACTCATTACCATGAACTGCCCAAGTGTTCAATAACAAGAATTTAAAACTCCCATTCAAGTTCGGAATTTGATATAGTCTGATTCTCACTTGCAATACGACCTTCAATTAACAATAATGAAGGCAAACTTTTTGTGAGTAATTTTTTCAGACATAAATCAAAAGCAGATTCAACATTCATCCATAATGGAAATGTCAACACCCAGCTGGAGAGGTGGCCCTCCTACAAAGGGTAACCATGGAGCCTAGGAAATCAGCAGATGACAAGAGGCCAGTGCCCCTCCCCTGAGGAGGATTAAAAGCTGACTGATCCACGGTGCAGTCACACACCTGCAGGAGCCAGATGGCTTCAGATTTGACGGACATGAAGCAGCCATGGGTGCCTGAAGTTTGCTTGGTGCGCATGAGTTAAATCAATGTTGCTGAGGCTGATTGGGGTTGGATATGGGAATGGAGTGGTCTCTCAAATTCAGGCCCAAGAGCCTCTTGAAGAACTGTGTTTCCAGAACCCAGGTATTGGTCAGAGGATGAGTGGTTTAGACAACTAGAGTATATAAAGGTTGATTTGGGATTTTATACCTCTGATTATCAACATTGCATTCGATCTTGAGTAAGATACTTAAGCTCTATAAGCCTCAGTTTCCACACCTGTAGGGTGAGTATGGGGCATGAAAAAAGTGTAAAGCTATTGTCATTAAATGGGGTTGAAGTTCAAAGAGCCATAGTTATCCCTTCTGTACATTGGGGAAAGAGGATAGTTTTTGTATGACCTCTTTTGACAACCCATGTACACTTCTAAGTTTGACCCAATGCAGATAATCAGTCCTCTTGTAAAAGGAGTTTGGAATAAAGCAAAGGAAAAGGAGTGATCAGACAGGCCGTTGCCCCATTCCCTGGCCCTCAGCTCTGCTGACCTAGGGCTCACAGGCTAATTCTATGCTTCTCACAGGTTTGACAACTCAATGGCTTCCCACCTGGGACTGCCTCCTTACGACTTGCCTTCTTATCCTGCAAATTACTCAGATGATTCCAAAACCTGGCGCCCCGTGGAAGTTTCTCGACTAGTCAGCAAGTACAAAAGTGAGATCTCTGATAGGAGAATCTGTGCCTCTGCATCAGCTCCGAAGTCCTGTAGCATTGAGCGTGTCCTGCGGAAAACAGGGAGGTTCCAAAAATGGCTGCAGGCCAAGCGACTCACTCCCGACCTGGTGCAGGTGAGTGTGGGCTTTGGGTAGAATATCTGCTCATACCTCGCAGTTCAGTCTAACACAGTAGTTCTCAGCCTGCGGGGCATGACCCCTTTGGGGTTTGAATGACCCTTTCGCAGGAGTCATTTAAGGCATTCGGGAAACCCAGATCTTTACATTATGATTCATACAGTAGCAAAGTGACAGTTGTGAAGTAGCAATGAAAATAATTTTATGGTTGGGGTCACCACAACATGAAGAACTGTATTGAAGTGTTGCAGTGTTAAGAAGGTTGGGAACCCCTGGTCTAAGAAAAAGGGAAAGTTGTGATCTACCTAAAGTGTGACAAAACAATTGTAAAACAGAGGGGCTTGTGACAAGACAGGAACTAATCAAGATTTGCTTGACTCTCTTCTATCGTCTCCCACCACTCTTGTCTATATGATCCTCAGTGATTATTTGATAAATAGTCCCTAGCTGCCACCTTTGAGCTGAAGGTTTGCCAGGATGACCCTTACCAGCCCACTCCCCTGACAGGGTCAAACTCATGTGCAGTTTTCCACCTGGATACGTTCCCAACCCCCATGTTTGGTGTGGTAAGACTTTGTCTATAGACGCTTCCATATAAAGGCCAGGCATGATGGCATGTGCCTGTAATCTCAGTCCTTAGGAGGTAAAGGAAAGAGGACCATGCCACAAGTTGGAGGTCAGTCTAAGCTACATAGTGAGACACACACACACACACACACACACCACTGCCTATGCTCTGCTCGCTACTTTAGGAACCCTGACTAGTACAGGTGGAAAGCGTGTTGAAATCAGGTGTCAGAAAGAGTGTAGTGCTGGTCTTAAAGCCACTATCCAACACTGGATAAAGCTGAGCTTTCCAAGGTTGTCCTTTTCCCCACCCTCCAAGTCCATACCGAGGCACACAGTTCCTCAAAGCAAGACTATTTCCATCTGGAAACTGGGAAACATAGCAAAAGAAGGAACGTCCTAGTGTACAAGAGACATTCCAAAGTCTGTGGGGTTCTCTGCTACCACCACAGTCATCAGAGTAACAATCTGATCCCAGGGAAGCAAGAAAGTAATTTAGTTCAACATGACTAAGTAGCCAGTATTGGTTCAAACTTCAAGATTATGAACCCAAGTAGTTATTTGAGGCATTTGAGTTTTTAAGCACAGCAAAATTTGGTGAATAACTTCCTGGTGATAACTCAATCCTGTGTACACAACAAAGCTTAAGACATGACTACATTGATAGATACTCTTTGTAAAGTACATGTGACATCTTCCAAAAAGATAGATCTTATAGATTGACAAGCTCATATCTCGGCCACACAGATAGTGCAAAAGTCACCAGGCTATTAATCATGTTTGCTCGCTGTAGGCATCTGGTCTGTGGACCTGTAACGGTGGCCACACCCCTTTGGGTGTGGTTTCAGGTGGACAGAAGCGGAAAGAGAGGTTTTCCTTGGTGTGCTCTTTTCTGGTAGGTCAGTAGATCCTGTAGGGAGAACAGAGAACAGGGAAATGCTCCAGCAGTTCTTTGTATTTTTCTGTGTAAAAGAGCAACCCTGTGTGTTTAATATTCCTGGTTCCCCTAGTGCTTGTCTGTGAGCACAAGAACCTCTACACCTCCCACAAAAGTCGTTAAAATGTAGCTAGATGGGTTTTAGGCTTTACACCAGTGGTTCAAAACCTTCCTAAGGCTACACCCCTTTAATTTAGTTCCTCACATTGTAGTGACCCCCAACCATAAGAGTATTTCATTGCTACTTCCTAACTGTAATTTTGCTACTGTTGTGAATGGTAATGTAAATATTTGATATGTGGCCCCAATGGAATCATGACCCACAAGTTGAGAACCATTGCTCTAGACTAAGGTAAATTATTTTTTTCCTTGTGTTCTAGACACTTTCATAATAACAATAGACTGTAAATTATCTCTTGGGTTCTGACAAGTTCAAAGCACCCTTCTGACACATGTAGAGTCACCTATGTTAATGTTTGTGGACACCGAGGTATAGGCCAGAGTCCTGTGGAACAGGAAAACTTTCTTGAATCCCAGATCTACCACTAAAGCTGTGGTGGAATGAGAAGAAACAGAGTCCTGGGAAGATTGGGTGCTTCTGCTTCTCCTCATACATTCTACAAGTTTCAACAACTATGCTTCAGCTGCGGATTTGGAGATGAATCACACACAGCCTCCTCTCCTAGGAGCATGTGACTCAGTGCTGGAGACAGATAAGACCACAAACTACCAACACTTTGATGTTGTGATGTCACTCTCTATGGGCAAGAGAGACAGACTAATTTATGTCTTTCATTCTCTGACCATTGGCCTTGAATTTAAGCCTTAGACTTGCCCCACTCTGCTTTGATATTCCTGCTGAAAAGTGAGATAGGAGGAGGGTTTCTGCATAAGCTCGAACACCCTCCCGGCTCTGACATTCTCTGACTTGTGTGCCTCTGCTGTGTTTACTTCACAGACAGACCTGATGTATACTGTCACCAAGTGCTAGGCTGGGCTTGGATTTTCTTGTTTCAAAATGTCAGTGCATGTTTCTTGTTCTGCCTGATTCCTTCATCCTACTATGCTTAGAGACAGGAGATGCTTCAGAAAAAGCCCATTTCTATAGAAATGTATGTGGCATTTTGGTAATAAGTGAGCCCCTTTCTTTTATTTGTTATGCAAAATTCTTCTCCATCTGTCTTTTTATTTTGTATTTGACATGTAGCTTACAAGTTTCCCTTCTTTCTACCCAAACAACATCTCTTACTAACATTCAATAAGACAGCCTAAACCATAACTATTTTCACTTTTTCTTGGCCCTCCCGTAAGCCATCTTTCCATCCCCTCTAGACTTTCTCCTTCTCTAAAAAAAAGCATCAACAACTATTTTCTAAATTCAGGACAAACCCCATTGTTTTTTCTATTCACAAAGATCAAATCCTCAGCATTCTTTTCTGGCAGTTTCTTCTCCCTTTCTTGTCACATTTTTTAGGCCCTTTGCCCTTGAATTTTGCTGCTCTTTCCTACTGCCAGGACTCATCTGGCTTTCACCCACAGGCCTGTTCTTTGCTTTAACAAAACTTAAAAGTTCCAAATAGATCCTTCTCCACTAACACTGGAGGGGAAAATCCCTCACTGAGACTAACCCAGGTGAACTGAAAACCAGACTTTAAAACAGTCTTCAAAACAGTGCTACTTATCATAGCCAAATGGTGGGAACAGCCCAAATGTTAATTAAGTGATGGATGGCTAAATAAAATGTGTTGTATCCAAATCATAAACTATTTATTTATCAACCTTAACAAGGTAAAAAGTACCAATTCACACCACCATACAGATAAACCTTGAAAACATGCTCCATAAAATAAGGCAGACACCATAGGGCAGGTGTGATTCTATTTATAGGAAATGGGCTCAGAGACAAATGAACAGAGACAAAAAGAAAATTAGTGGTTGACAAGATCTAAGAATAGGAGAGAATTCATAGTGAATATTGTTGGGATGAAGTTCCTTTTGGGAATGAATAGATTCTAGAACAAGGTATTGATGTTTTCATAGCTTTGTGAATATACTTAAAACCCATCAAATTGTATAGTTTAAAATTACTAAAGTGAACAGGCATTGTGGTTCATGCCTGTAGTTCCAGCACTTGGGAAGATAAGGCAGGAGGCTGGCAAGTATGAAACCAGTCTGCCTTATATAGTGAGACCTTTTATCAAAAAAAATCAATAGCTACAGTGTTGACCTTCATGTTATGCGAACTGTTTTTTCTATGTATGTGATTTTTCAAGACAGGGTTTCTCTGTGTAGCAGCCTTAGCTGTCCTGAAACTTGATTTGTAGATCAGACTGGCCATTAACTCACAGAGATCTGCCTGCCTCTGCCTCCCAAGAGCTGGTATTAAAGGTGGGGGCCACCACACCTGGCTGTGAACTTCTTTAATGTTATGTGAACTTTAGCTCAGTAATAAATGCAAGTATGATGGGGACAAGCATGATCAAACAACATTGTGTCAGGGTATGAATATGTCCTTGTTAAACTCAGTCCTAGATACACTGAACGTATTCCAATAAAAAAGGAAGAAGGAGTCATTAAAATACTAGCCTATTTTGTGACTCCATTCTTTTAGAGCCATGTGATGGACAGCTAATCTCCTAGGTCAAAATGATAACAGCCAGAGTATCACTATCAGCACTCCAGGAAACAATTTGAGTACAAAGCCAATAGTAAAATTCTCTGGCATAACAATAACAATAGCATCTTGTTAACTGTCTCAGATGTTCCTAGTACTGCCAATCTTCATTATTAATGGACTCCATGTCTGTGGATTCTACCAATCACAGATGTAAAAAAAATTGTGGTGCTCACTTGTACTCATAACTACTTTGGAGGCTGAGGCACAAGGATCCCTGAAACTCAGGAATTCTAAACCAGTCTATGTGCCATAGTGAGAAACCACCTAAACACAATCTAAAATAAAAAATCTGCATTAACTATAAGCATACTTTTTTCCTTTTTGTCTTTCCATAAGCAGTATAGCATAACTATTTGTATATGATTTGGGTTATTGTAAGTCATCTAGAGATGATTCAAATGTTGCAGTAGATGAGCCTAGACTCTACATAAATGCTCCAACATTTTCTTTAAATGATAAAGTATTGTAGAGGATCATAAACCCAACCACATACCCATCCATTCTTCTCCTATAAGCAATATATAGGCCCAAAATCCTTCTTAAAAGCATTTTAAGCAAGCAGCCTATGTCCCTGACCTCATCCAGAATGATCTGAGATCTCTGAGCGACCATTCATCCTAGATTTGGCTGAACATCTCTGCCCTGTTTTGCGACAATCCATAAGTCCTTATTTCTGGTTGGGAAATCCTGTTTATACTTATGTGGAAGTTTTATGGACCAAATGCGGAGCTATTATGGAATGGGTTAGAAGGAGATGTACCCGCATCTTTCAAATTACGCCAGATAAGCCAGAGCCAGCTCAGCCTACCTGCCAAG